AACCAAATCTTACATGCTAGCACATGTCTTTGTTGACAATATGCATGCCAAAATTCTCGTATACCTTGTTTAAAACTCTCCTGCAGCTGTTTTAGTAGAACCATAACTTCTCCTGAGAGCTGTAGGTTTGATATGTTCATGACCTGGTACCTGTCCAGATCTAACTCCAATGTCCTCTGGACTGGGAAAGCACTCCTTCATGGAAATCAGAAAAAAATGCAAATGAGGCACAACTAAATAACTACAACATATGTTGTAAATAGGGCCACAACTTTACTGAACTGTGAATTTTCATCCGTTGGCCAAAGTATGTACCATCTCTCCATTAAATGCAGGAAACCATTCCCAGTTTTCACATTAACATTGACATTCATTCTGTTCATTAAAAAACTTTGAACTTGGAACTAGTTATCATTTATTTTCCTTTCAACAAAATAAATCAGTATTCCATGGAAGTTAACCTTATTTCCTTTGGCACATCAGTGAAGCTAAAAGGGGCCTCAGTGACATTTTCTTCCATTTTGACAGTGTCATTGCTTGCATCCTTACTGCTAGTAACATTCACAGATGTAGAGTCTATGGCAGCCTTTTTTGTGGGCAATGGCCAAGTATTTACAGTCACATTAAACTCAAACTAAAAGAGAAAATATAAGTGAAATCAAAAGTTATTATCAGTAATTGAATCACTAAATGTTCATTTTTATGAAAAATATCGTCTGGAACGAACTTTGAGAAAACATGCATGCTGAATAGATGTTCCCAAACAATTTGATATATGCCACAATTTCTAAAAAAGAATTTTCTGATAATAAAATGAACCAGCAACTTACTTCAATAGTGTGGTTCAATCCCACCCTGCCAGCAATCTTGAAATTCAATTCTGTATCATTGTGCTTTGAATACAGCAGCAGTGTCATGGTTTTGTACTTGTTGGATACAGCAGCTGTTCTGATGACCTTGTGCTTCTCGTATTCTGCTTTCCTGATACCAGAGGCATCCATTGGGAATATGGCTGTCAGGTTAAAGTAGTAGACCAGAAATCCTGGAAAAATACAAATAACGGGTGTATATGAAAGGTCTTATAAAGGTTTATATCTAGAAACTTTTCTGCTACACTTACTTGAATTGTATCAACTTGCTGCACCTCTGCCTGCTTATCACTGTGAAATAAGTTAATTCTAGAATTTTTATAATATCAAGTACTGCACCATTCAATCTTTTTGCGTAAAAGATACTGGCTCCTCCAGCCTTTATATCAGAAGTGTAAGCTGCTTGCCATATTAATAAGCATCCATTTATTGTACAACATATTAGAAAAATATTTTGCAATATTCTTTATCTGAATTTCCCACGTCAACTGATCCAGACCATTCTTACCTCCAGGGAGCCTGTAGTGGTGCTGTCTTGGCAGAATGTCCACCTTGTGGAGTTGATTGAAGTTAGCATTGCCGCAGTCTCCAGCATCAAAGCCACAGCTGAGCACATTGCAGGCCTGGTCACAATACCTGTCTGCCACCCAGTTGTTAGCACACCCAGAGTTGCAGTACACTGAATGTATAGAAGCCTTATTTTAATTGTAGTAGTAGTATTTATTTTATAACACTAAATTTGCAAGCAGAGCAATACAGGTAGATAAGTAATGACTGTAATCATTTAATTCATCCTAAACAAATTTTTAAAAAAAATTCGTTCAATATCACTGCATTTATCAAGTATCTGTAGCATTATATAATAGAAGAATTAATCCATTCAAATGCATTTACATTGTTTACTTACATTCTTCTGAAGAATCAAAGCTGTTTTGGGGAAATTGTGCACCAAAGTTATTAGAACCAACTTGTGTATTTCCACCTAAAAAAGATGAACTTTTGAATAAAACATCAAATGTATTTTCAACTCTTTATGTCACTTGCCAGCTTAACACTGAATGAAGAAAAGTCTCACTGAAAAAATTAAGATATGTGGAAATATGGGATGAATAAAAATATGCACTAAACTTGAGATTTTAATTTTTCATAAATTATCTGCCATAATTCAACCAAATTCCATTCAATAACACATGTTGTAGCCTGTCATGGTACTGCAATTCAACTACTTTTATGTTACAACAACCACGTTTATTTCAATATGACAATTAGGGTCCAAAATTAAAAAAAAATTACAGCCTTGGTTAATGTTCTATTACAAATTGGGGGATTCCGATAACCAGATGATTGCAAGTTTGAATACTTTTGTACTAAACACCACAAACATAAATTACCAAAGCCTTCAGGTCAAAATGTTTACATTCTTGATGTGTTGTTTTGTCATTATCATTTGTTTAATATAATGACCCATTTCTACACCGTCTTTATATGAAAGTGCCATAGTCTGAGTGTGTTATGTGAGTGTAATAAACATCTTCACTTACCTGTACAATCTCCTCCATCCCAATCACATTCTGATGAGTTACAAGCTTTGTCACAGTAACCATCTCTGATCCAGGTGTTAGGACAACCCTCCTGACAATTTGGTACTGGCCATGTCAGATATACCTAATGGGTAAAAGCTTACCTAATTAGCAAATTTACTTGTGGGCAATAATGTTTGCATAATCAGGATGTGAAATAATTTTAATGAAACTATGGATTTGGACAGCCATTCTTTTTTCCTTAGTATCTACATCAATTCATTAAACTATAACCAGCTGTATTTTAGTCCTATGAATCATTAGAGTTGGTTTTGGAATGATGTTACACAATATTCCTTCAATTGTATTGACAATTAAACATAAACAAGGTAAGTTTACAACACCACCAATGGTGAAAGTAACGGTGAACAGGTGGTGGCTACATGTCCTAACACAATGTGTCTCTCCATAAAAATTCAGCAATACTTACAATGACATACAAAATGTACAAAAAATGAGCCTGATTCAGAAATTCCAAATCTATTTATATCTTTCCAATCACCTTCTGTCCTCCAGCATGAGTGTAAAAATCATCAGGCCAGACATCCTTTCCAAACATCACATCATCATTCATGTATATAAACTTGTCTGATAGCCCAGGTATACGATGAAGGTGGACTTCAATGGCTGGAGAACTGTATGTGGGCAGGTGGGACTGGTTGGGGAAGATCTCCTGGAAAAAAATTGACGATTTAAGTAAAATAATAATTCTGAATGCTGTGAAACCCTAACAGAGGGAAATTCTAAAATAAGTCAATTGAATAACTGAACTTAAGTACACAAAAGGAAAATTCTATTTTAACATCAAAATAAAATTCAGAAAAAAGTATTTTTTGTCCATTTCTTTATCTGGCAATCAACCTTGCAAAGCCTTTCATACTGATCATTGCGAGTACCAACAATCAACATATTTTTCTTCTTGCCCTCTGTGATACTGAACAGAGAAAACCCCAAAAATACTTTCACCATATTTCAATGATTGGAGTATTCATATTAACCTGATGTGTGACCAGAGTGACCCGTGGGTTTTCTAAGTCTAGCCAGGATGGTATCTGACCATTGGTGATAATATAGATATGGCGGACCCAGGGGGCATGCAGTTCTATAGACCTAAGAGAGTAGCGCAGCTCCTGTAAAATATGAAACAAGTGACACCTCTATTGAAATCATGGATCCTTTTAAAAGTATTCATAGAAACAGCTGCAGCTAGCTCACACAGCTATAAAAGCAGGAATATGATTGAAAATATTAATTCAAATATATATATACTTTTTACCTATTATAATATACAGGAAGCTTTTAAATCTCTTAACATTTTCTTCTAATTTGAAATTTCCAACTTATGAAGGACTTTCAACTTAATTTTCTTTACTTACATCATTATCTTGAAACCTGTTAGCTGATATCTGTTCACTTTCCAAGTCCTAAAAATTAATCAAAATATCTTTTCAACAAGTTTTACCTCATTTGTCATCATGGACAGAGTTGAATATACAGTACAATGTCTTATAATAAGCAGTGATAGACAAACTGGATCTATGATTAAGCGTTCACTATTTTAATGACTGTCATGTTACTTTTTATTCTGAATGTTCGGACTTACAATGCTGAAATACCAGACCATGTTAGCTGCATGCAGAGTGGGCTCTTTGCCATCAATGGTGAAGTTAGAATCCTAAAAATTTAAAAAGTTTATTTTATATTTGTATGTCCACCCTACCCTCTCCCTCCTCCCTTAAAAGGAGTGAAATACAAAATAGAAACATAACATATGAATAACATGTACACAAAAGATTAAAAAATAAAAAGATTATACATGTACCTTATAAACAAAACCTGAATTTTCCTGTATTAGCAGACATACCACTGACTGTGTATGAACTGTACTGGTATTTTGTTTATTTAAAAAACTACTGAATCATTTCAAATAATGAAAAATTTATTTTGATACCTGGAGTAAGTTTTCAAACTCTTGTTTCACTGGTACATACAAGACAGCCACAGCATTGTCCTTGTACAGCTCCAGCTAAATAACATTAACATAAAAAATTCAACATAAATTTCATTTTGTCAACAATAGAATGTGGCTAGACACAAAGGAAGTTTGTATTTGGACTTAACAAGACAATTTATCTTTGATGCAATTCAAGTTGAGATCAATAAAGTACACCATGAGAGATCTAGCAGTCAAAGAATATAAACAAATGGAGATGGATACCGTTTTTAACAAATTTTTTTAGAAATATGATTACAGAATATCTTGAAGAAGGTAATAATTTTGAAAATTTTGTT